GAGGCCCAGGGCTGGGCGAGGGCCAGAAATGTGGACGCACGTCCTCGAGGAGATCTTTACTAAATCGATTCTGGCCCCGGATTGTGTGGCTCAGTGGATAGAGCGCTGGCCTGCAGACTGAAGGGTCCCGGGTTTGATTCCGGTCAAGGGCACATGCCCGGGTTATGGGATCGATCTCCAGTGTGGGGCGTGCAGGAGGCAGCCGATCCATGATTCTCTCTCATCATGGATGTTTCTATCTCTCTCTCCTTCCTCTCTGAAATCAATTAAAAAAATTTTTTTTAAATAAAATAGTATCTATTCTGGATAAAACATCCACAAAGTGGGGCACTTACACACACCCCACTTCTTCATGTCTTCCTAGGCATTTCCGATGATTTTTTAAAAAATGTTTTTATTGATTTCAGAGAGAGGAAGGGAGAGGGAGAGAGAGAGAGAGGACCATCCATGATGAGAGAAAAATCATTGATCAGCTGCCTCCTGCACGCCCCCCACTGGGGATCAAGCCCACAACCTGGGCATGTGCCCTGGTTCATAGGTCGATGCTCAACCACGGAGGCTCACCGACTGGGCATCTCAGATGATTTTAAAGAAAACTTAGTGTTGCTGTATGTGTTAAGAGTGAAAGAGGCCAGGTCCGTGTGGCTCAGTGGTTGAACGTCAACCTATGAACCTGGAGCTCATGGTTCGATTCCCAGTCAGGGCACCTGCCCGGGTTGCGGGCTCAATCGCAAGTGTGGGGCGTGCAGGAGGCAGCCGATCCATGATTCTCTCTCATCATGGATGTCTCTCTCTCTCTCTCCCTCTCCCTTCCTCTCTGAAATCAAAATATATTTGACAGAGCCGGGGGGGGGAGGGGGAAGAGAATGAAAGAGAATTTATTTTTATTTTTGGTTTATTACCAAATATTTAAATAATATGAATATTCTAACTTATAAATTGTCAAAATAAGCCAGTTGTAAAATATGACAAGTCGATGTGTGAATGACATTGTGTGATGTCCTTGAGGCCCTGTTGTCACAGCATCTGTCCCTGAGCGCTG